TTTTGGATACCTCTAGGAATTACTACCCAGTGGATGACATTTTGAGGACCATCAAAGCCATGAGTGCTAATAAGCTCAACGTTTTCCATTGGCACGTTACCGATTCTCACTCTTTTCCTTTAATGCTTCCATCTGAGCCTGCTCTTGCTGAAAAAGGGTCTTATGGGAATGACATGCTCTACTCTCCAGCTGATGTTGCAACAATTGTTCGGTTTGGTTTGGAGCATGGCGTCAGGGTTCTACCGGAAATTGATTCTCCAGGTATATTGACTATTTTCATTAATGCCCCAAGCTTAATCAATTGTTCTATTCATTAGGAGATCGGGAATAATTAATTAATTAATTACATGCTCTAGTGACTAGAGTGGCAAACATCATGCCTACTGATTTTGTGAAATATCAAGTTTGTTAGATATCCTTCTTTTTCTGGGATAAGGTTAGATATCATGATCATACAAGTTCTTGATTAATTTCCACAGCAAATTATTAATCTGACACTGCAGATGCCGAACTCACTACAGAGACATGGTTCCACATTTGTTTATCAGATCAAACAAACGATGCATAAATATATAGCCAGAATTTTCATTTCCTATCTAAAATGATATGTGATTGTGTACAGTATGTAATCTCTCACTCAATCTACAAGTACCAGGAATTTAGGATTAAGCATTTCTCCTATAATATATAGACAATGTGTCAATGGATCAATTTCGTACTGATGCTGTATATTATATATTTGGCTTTAGTTCGAACCTGAAAGTTGTTAGGTTCCCTTCACAGATTTTTCTTCTTTCAATGAAAGAGAGACAATAACTTAACTCAGCTCTAACTCAGCATTTTATTTGATGCACTTATGCTAAATCTTATTCAAATTCGTAAAGCAATAGGAATGTGATCCAGAAAAGGCTATTTTGAATTCAAAAAAGTTAGTTTCTTGCAATGTGGTCCAGTTAACGATGAGATTGTAATTCTATTCCCCACCAATATCATCCCTTTTTCTCTCGTTCTAAGGCTCTTTTAATGCCAAGTTAAGAGTTTCAAAAACTTAATAGTTGTTCTTCAGTTTGAACTAGTAGAATGTGAAATGCAATAGGAATGTTAATAAGAAAAATGAACTTGTAAAATCGTTTGAACACACTGGGAAGAGTTGGTTTCTGGTAACTATAACGCGATGGAGGAGTGAATATATCATCCTTTTTTTATCTGGTTCTTGATTCAAAGGCTATTTGAAAGACCTGACTTATAGGAATTATTGGTAATTGCAGCACATACAGGATCGTGGGCTGAAGCCTATCCAGATATCGTGACTTGCGCAAACATGTTCTGGTGGCCGGCTGAAAGTGAATGGGCTGACCGGCTTGCATCAGAACCAGGAACTGGCCAGCTAAATCCTTTGAACCCAAATACCTACCAAGTTCTAAAAAATGTGATTGGTGATGCAGTTGCCTTGTTTCCTGAACGGTTTTTCCATGCTGGAGGTGATGAAATCATCCCAGGCTGTTGGAAAGCTGACCCGGCCATTCAGTCCTTCCTATCCAAAAATGGAACTCTCAGTCAACTCCTTGAGAAATTTGTGAACACAACCTTCCCTTACATTGTGTCCCTCAATCGCACGGTGGTTTACTGGGAAGATATTTTGTTGGATGCCGATGTCAAGGTGGATTCTTCATTTCTTCCACCTGAGCATACCATCCTACAGACATGGAATAACGGTCCCAACAACACAAAACTGATTGTTTCTTCTGGTTACAGAGCTATTGTCTCATCCTCAGAGTTTTATTATTTGGATTGTGGCCACGGCGATTTTCCTGGGAATGACAGCCAATATGATCCACCACCAACAAGTGATGACAGTGGCAATGGTGGATCATGGTGTGGACCTTTCAAAACATGGCAAACCATATATAACTATGACATAGCATATGGATTGACCCCGGAGGAGACCAAATTGGTGCTAGGGGGTGAAGTAGCATTATGGTCAGAGCAAGCAGACCCAACAGTTTTGGACGTGCGGATTTGGCCAAGAGCTTCAGCAATGGCTGAGACTTTATGGTCAGGGAACAGAGATGAGTCAGGAAAGAAGAGATATGCAGAGGCAATGGATCGTTTAAATGAGTGGAGACATAGAATGGTCAACAAAGGAATCAGAGCTGAACCACTTCAGCCTCTCTGGTGCATCAAGAACCCTGGCATGTGCAACACAGTTCATTCAAGTGATTAGATAAGTGTTGGATTTTTGTTGACCTTGCAATTTTATGAAATTGAATGTCCAACTCAGTATCCATTTCTGCTATCAGAACATAGTTATGCGGGATATGGATATGTGTGTGAACTTATTTAAGAGTTACCGTAATAAAATTTATTTTGAAATGTTTTTTTTTTCCTTCGAAGACAGAATGGATTTTCAAGTTAATGCTTCTTTGTTTTTTTAGTCTAATGATTTTCTTGATTAGTTTCATTTATACCCCCTTCTTAAATTTTCAACTTTGGAGGGATATCAGTAAATATAGTGTACTTAAGACGAATTCAACCCTTTAATAAAGTTATTGTCTCCTTTCGCATTTGCACATTCACACTGCTAGTTCTTAAGAGAATGCGTGCAACTCAGTGTTTAAAGTCTTGTCTTCCCTTACTAACCAAATCTGGATAACTTTTTGATGATTGCTGATCTTTTCTTTTATCGTTATTAGTGAAGGAAAGGTATGTTTTTCTTTTGATTTTTTGAATTCTCTTTCTGTTTTTGTGCCTGTATTCTGTTACTGAACCAAATGGAATATTTAAACGACTCATTTCCTTTTGGTCGGAACCAGTTGTGTTAATTGTCAGTAAGATGCTTCAGAATTGCTTTGTGAGTAATACACTGTATTTATGCTCTTGTAATTGACCTAATCAAATGTCTTTCCTTTTTAAACTCCTCTAAGACACCTTCGTCTACTTGATGTAGCCTGTTCTCTGTTTGGTGTCTTGAGGTTATATGCTTAGAAGCATCAAAGCAACAGCAAAAATTCAATCCAGAGAAAAGGAAAAAAAAAAAGAGATAAAGAAACAAAGTACAGAAGGAAACTTCCTAAGCAGAAACTTCAACATTCGTAGATGAAGTTTTGTTGACCTTGTTTCATTAGAAGCTGTAGAATAAGTAGAGTTTCTCTGTTAGCTACAAAAGCTATCCAATAACTGTTGTCTTTGCTACCTTGTTTACTTTAGTAAAGGTATTGGATCCCAGCCTCGCTTTTGGTTTTTCGTTTTTTGTTCCTACTGGTGTATTGACCATATTGACAATATGGTAATTGTGAACTTAATTTGAAAAAAGGTACAGGTAATTCTGCTAGTCATTTTTAAAGTTGTGTATTATTTTCTTTTGAATGAATTGTCCCTGTGCTTGTAACAAAGATTTTGCATTGCTTGTATTTCTGTTTGAGTGCAGAATTCAATAAAGGTTCAAGAATCAATGGACATAAAAGTATACATGCAAAAGGTTCAGGAATCAATGGACATAAAAGTATACATGCAAGGCCCAGCTAGGAAGAAATTTAAAGCAGTGTCAATTGTTGCTGTTTTTAATAGAATTCATCCTCATGTAAGTGCAGTATTTCAATATTTTGACAACAAACGTCTAAATTCTGACCTCATTGGATTGTGTATCGAGCAGAGCATTGTCTCCAGTAACAATAGATTTGTGGTAATATAGATGTGCTTTTAGACAAAAGCTAGAGTCCTCTAGTTATAATTTCAAGGAAATTGGAAGAATGGCAAATATAGACCTGCATTGATTCCCTTGGGCTAATACTTGCAGGCATTGTTTGCAGCCAACAGAACATCACTATAATGAACATACACTGTTTCCTGTCCGCAAGGTAACCAGTCTAATCTCACTAACCAATACAGAAATAAAATGGCTTATTTGACAGAATAAGAGAGTGGTAAGTAATTTGTTTTGTTGAGATATATTATCGATTATAATGTGTACTTAGTCAAAGACAACTCTGATTGCACCAATATTTGTTTTGGTAGTCTTCATTGTCAATACATGGGATGAACCAAGCACCAAAAACACCACCAGTTGGTGGGGAAAATATTTGTTGTTGTTGTTGTTGTAATATAATATGCTTAGTCTAAGTTGACCAACATATGTAACACAAAGGAAAGTAAATTCTGAATAGCCAGGCTATTATAAACATAGACAATAGCCTGATGCACTTGCTTTACTCTCTTCGGTTAATCTATTAGAAAAAATTATGGATGGTTGAGATATCCTTTCTGGAGACTGAATGTCCGATTGATTTTCTGTTCTTTATACTTTTGACTAGGAATTAAAATATTTGATGTTGCTAACTCAGCATGTTTACACTGAGGGTTTGACATTACTTCTGGATTCCATATTAGGTTTCGGCCTGCTGATGTTATATGCTCTAATGGATTACGAATGCAACTGGGTGTGTCCAGTTGCGTATTCCATCCTTTAGTATAGCACTAATAAGGTTTTTACTCAGGATGGAGTGGTTAGAATTAGTGAATTTTTCGGACTGTTAGACAGGATTAGCCTCGTTTGGAAAATAGAGGCACTGAGGACTCGGGAAAAGACTAAACACTCTGATTTATGTGATATTGGCTATGACATCAAAGAATTTATTAGAAGCGTCCATTAGATTTATTCTAAGGCCTAAATGAAATAGATCCATGAAAAGTTGAGTAGGCTAAGTCAATAGGCTTTGATGAAAAATATTCAAATTTGCTACCCTATACTTTTATCTACTTTTTGGATTTTATTTGGAGCTACAAGAGGAGTTTGGATGAGATTCTAATTGGATTGAAAACTATACATTTGTATCTTTCTAACTATATATATGTTAGGCCTGTTAATACATCCAGATAAAAAAGAACGATATTGTTAGTATGGTCCTTTTTAATAGAATCATTAGTTTCCATATACATATTTTGTTATTTATGTCAAGAAAACAACTATAAATATTTATGTAATCATAATCTAATTAGCTTTTTATAATTAGGTCGAGATTATAGTTAATAGTAACAGATTTTATGTAATGTAAATCAGAATTTTTACTATTTAATGAAAGAGACTCTCATGAAGGGATTTCATCAAACCAGCTTGACATGGTATCAAAGCTGTACTTTTGAATTTGCATTCCATTGTCTTGCCTGAATATTTCTTGGGTTTTCTTGATTGAGTTTTGGTTAGTCCTAGATACGTAAGGCTCTTGGTTTTTTTTTTTTGGATTTTCTTTAATTTTTAATTGTCTTTTGGGTTTTGGATTTGTTTAGTGTTCGATTAACGAGAAAGAATTATTTTGCTTGGGAATTTTAATTTCAAGTATTTGTCACATGGGAAAAATTATGGGGTTATGTGGATGGCAATGATCCAACCTCTATCGATTCTACAAAGTTGCTTCAATGGAATTTATGAGCAGAATATACTGATATTATTTATGCCAAAATACCAACCAAATCTCTTTGTTGTTCAATAGGTTCATGAACAAAGCAAGCACAATCAATTTTTAATGAAATTGCGATTTGAATTTGAGATTACTTGCTCAAATTAAATGAATCGAGATCTTTTGCTCTCCTTGGATATTTGTTTTGGGAAATTATCGCGTAAAGAGTAGCATCTTCTTACACAAGGCAATTTCAAGTAGAACAATTCAACTGCAGTTGCTTTTGTGGCTCAAGCAAAAAGAAAAGGTTGGAACATGAGCAATATACAGTGCTATAACTGCAAAGAATATGGACACATTGCTAACATTTGTAGAAAGAAGTTATGCAATTATTGCAAACATTAAGGCCATATTATCAAAGAGTGCCCCACTCGTCCTCAAAATCGTAGAATAGATACTTTTCAAGCCGTGGTGTTCGACAACTCATTTACGATGGCTACATCCAATACTTATTCCTAAAATGGTATAACAGATGATTCTTATAGCCTTTTCAGCCTTAAAGCTGCAAGGTAGTAATTCAAATTCTAGCTCGCTGATTCTGCTACCTCAAATCATATTACCAACTCATCTAGTATGCTTAAAAATATGCATGAGTATCATGGTTCATCACAAATTTAGGTTACTAATGGTGGTCATATATCTATTACTAAGGTTGGAGATATCGCTCCAACTTTTAAGAATATTTTTGTATCACCAAAGTTGTCTACTAGTCTTATTTTGGTTGGTCAATTGGTGGATAATAATTGTGATATGCATTTTTCTTGTAATGGTTGTTTTGTGCAAGATCAAATGTCGGGGAAAGTAATCATAAAAGGGCTTAAAGCTGGAAGATTATTTTTTATGCATTTTTCCATTCCTCATTTTCTATCTTTTGCTTGTATAACTGTTCAAAATAAGAGTGAAGTATGGCATAAACGTTTAGGCTATCCAAATTCTTTTGTCTTGATTGTTGAATTTTGGTTTGTTGGAAATAAAACTAAATTTTCATCTCATGATGCTTTTTTTTATTGTTTTACATGTAGATTAGGCAAGAGTGAAACTTTTATTTTCCTTCTTATGGCAGGCGTGCTACAAAATGCTTTGATATTATTCATAGTGATGCTTGAGGTCCTACACCAATTATTTTTCATGCTCATTACAAGTACTTTGTGAAATTTATTGATGATTATAATTGATTTACTTGGGTGTATTTTCTTCATTCCAAATTTGATGTCTTTTTTGTTTTGAAGCCATTTTTTTTTGTCTATATTTAGACTCAATTTTCTACTGCTATTAAGGTATTAAGATCTAATTCGGGTGGGGAATATATGTCACATGAATTTCCTGATTTTTTTACAATAGAAAGGTATTGTCTCGCATTGTTCCTGTTTATATATACCACAACAAAATAGGGTTGTTAAGCATAAGAACCATTATCTTTTAGATATCACTAGAAACTTATTGATTAAGTCTTTGTACCATTTAAATTCTGGATTGAAGCCTTATTTACTAAAGTTTATTTAATCAATCAATTGCCATCATTGGTGTTAAATTTTGATTCCTCATACCATCATCTATATAATAATTGTCTTAGCTATCATGACTTGCATCCTTTTGGTTGTGTTTGCTTTGTTCATTTGCCTTCTCATGAATGACACAAACTTTCTGTCCAGTCTGCTAAATGTGTCTTTTTAGGTTATAGTATTTCTCATAAAGGTTTTCTTTGTTATGATCTAAGTTGTAGCAAATTTCATATTTTTAGAAATGTTGTCTTCTTCAAAATTGAATATTTATTCCTTACTCATGTTGCATCCTTCTCTGTTCTCCTATTCTTCATCATTTTGAAGATGTGTCATCTTTTGAGCGGTTCAAGCTTGGAATTATGTATGAAAGACATCGACTAATTTTGCCACTTCTTGAGACTGACCCAACACCTGATACTGCTCCTGAGACTGCTTTTAAGCCTTCTACTCATCAACCTACTCTTCGTTGCTCTACAAGAGTATCTCATTCTCTTGATCAGTATGTTTTTTTTTTGCTACTATCCATTATTATTGTTCCATCATGTTACTCATAAGTTGTCCATCATGAGTGTTGGTAGAAAGCCATGTACGAGGAACTTCAAGCTCTTCAAGATAATCATACATGGGATCTTATTTCTTGTTCTCCAGTTGTTAAACCTATTGGGTGTAAATGAGTGTACTTAATTAAGCTTCGATGTGATGGAACTTTAGATCAATATAAAGCATGGTTGGTTGCTTTTGGAAATAAACAAGAGCATGGTGTGGACTATAAAGAGACTTTTGCTCCTGTAGCCAAAATGACCGCATTGCGCATTATTATTGCCATTACTGCTTCTCAAGGTTGGCCACTTCATCAAATAGATGTAAAAAATGCTTTTCTCCATGGTGATCTTAAAGAGAATATTTATATGGCACCTCCACCTGGTTTGTTCTCATCATCTACATCAGTTGTGTGTAAGTTAAAGTGGTCTTTGTATGGTTTGAAACAAGCTCCCCGAGCATGGTTTGATAAGTTTCGCACTACTTCGCTTCACTTCTCTTTTGTGCAAAGAAAATATGATTCCTTTTTATTTCTTTGCACGACATCTATTGGTTTTATTCTCCTTCTCGTTTATGTCGATGATCTTGTCATTACAGACACTGATTCTTTATTGATTGGTAACCTTCAGTCCCATCTTCAAGATTGTTTTTATATGAAGGACCTTGGTTCTCTTACTTACTTCTTGAGATTGGAAGTTCATTCTTCTTTTTCTAGTGTATTTTAGTATCAACATAAATATGATAAGGACTTGATTGTTTTGGCTGGTCTTCAAGATTCTTCTTCGGTGGATACTATTTTGGAGGTGAATGTTAAGTTTCGATGTGATGACAGGGATGTTCTTCCTAATCCAACTCTATATCGATAATTAGTTGGCAGTTTGAATTATATTACTATTACTGCAAATATCTCTTTTGCAGTTTAGCAAATCAGTCAATTTATACAATCTCTCTGTCATTTACATTTGGTTATTGTTCGTCGTATCATTTGATATCTACTTGGCTTTTCTAGCCATGGCCTATTCTACCTTACTAGTTCTTTTATCCATCTTATTGTTTTTAGCGATGCTGATTGGGCAAGTTGTCTT